TTATTTATTTATTTACAACAAGGACAGAACTAGAGGCTTTTTTTTTCTTTTGTAGCGACAAGATCTCACTTCGTTGCCTAGGCTGGTCTCGAATTCCTGGGGTCAAGCCGTCCTCCCACCTTGGTCTCCCAAAGTGCTGGGTTTACAGGCATGATCCACCGTGCCCAGTAGACATTCAATTTTAGAACATTTCATTACCTCAGAAAGGAAGCTCATTCCCTTTAGTTGTCGTCCCTCTTCCTGCCCCACCCAAGTCTTAAATAACCTCTGATGTGCTTTCTGCCTCTCTAGATTTCCCTGTTCTGGACTTTTATACAATCATGTAATGTGTGCCTTTTGTGCCTGGTTTCTTTCACTTAGCACAATGTTCTCAAGGTTTATCTGTGTTGTAGCATATATCAGGACTTCACTCTCGTTCATGACTGAATATTTTTCCATTTTATTCACATGCTCCATTTTCTTTATTCATTCATCAGTTGATGAGCATTTGGGTTAGTTCCACCTCTTGGCTACTGTGAATGATGTTGCTGTAGATGTTTGTGTGCAAGTTTTTGTGAGGAGGTATTTTCATTTCTTTTGGTATGTACCTAGAAGTGGAATTGCTGGGTCACATGGTATATCTATGTTTAATTGTTTGAAGAACTGCCAGGCTGTTTTCCACAGCAGTGGCACTATTTTACATTTTCTTCAGCAATGTATGAGGGCTCCAATTTTTGGGTGGGGGAAAGGGACAGAGTTTTACTCTGTCATCCAGACTGGAGTGCAGTAGCCTTATCATAGCTCACTGCAGCCTCTATTTCCTGGGCTCAAGTGATCCTCTCACCTTAGCATCCCAGTAGCTGGGACTACAGGCATGCACCACCATACCTGGCTAATTTTTTTGTAGATACAAGGTCTCACTATGTTGCCTAGGCTGGTCTCTTACTCCTGGGCTCAAACAATCCTCCTGCCTCAGCTTCCCAAAGTGCTGGGATTACAGGCATGAATCACCATGCCTGGCATGCAGTAAGTTTTGAAATCAGGAAGTGTAAATCTTCCTTTGTTATTTTTCAGGTTTGCTTCGACTATAATAGATCCCTTGAAACTCCAAATGAAATTTACAACCATCATCAGTTTCTATGAAGAAGTTAGCTGGGATTCTGATAGGGTTTTTGTTGGACCTGTAGATGAGTTTGAGGAATTTTACCATTTTACCATTGTTAAGTCTAGTGGTTCCTGAACAGGGGATGTTTTTCCATTTATTCAGATCCTCTTTAATTTATTTCAACACTGCTTTGTAGCTTTCAAAGTAGAGTACAAGTTTTGCACATCTTTTGTTAATTTCATTCCTAAGTATTTTATTCTTTTTGATGCTATTGTGAATGTAATTCTTTTCTTTTTTCAATTAAACTCTCACTCTGTCACCCAGGCTGGAGTGCAGTGGCATGCTCACAGCCACTACAGCCTTGACCTGCTGGACTCAGGCGATCCTTCGGCTTCAGCCTTCCAAGTAACTGGAATTACAGGTGTGTACCACCATACCCAGCTAATTCTTTGATTTACTGTAGAGATGGGGTCTCGCCAAGTTGCCTAGGCTGGTCTTGAACCCCTGGGCTCCGGCAATCTTCCTGCCTCCACCTCACAAAGTGCTGGGATTACAGATGTGAGCCACTGTGGCCAGTCTGGAATTCTTGTCTTAATTTAATTTTCAGATTATTCATCACAAGTGTGTATAAACACAATTGATTTTTATATATTGATCTTGTATTCTGCAATCTTACTAAACTTTATTTCTTTTTTTGTTTGCTTTTTACAAAATGGTTACGTTTATTCAGTGTCCTGCATATTCAGGTCAAAAATACCTGAGTCTTACTGGTGCTACTGCAAGAAAGCTTTCCTGACCTGCATGATTTGCCTAAGCTTCTCGCCACAAGCACAGAACCACCTGAGCCTAGTTTAGACCAAAGTGCTCTGGAGAAAAAAAAAACAGCCAACATAAAAGATGAGCAGAAACCAGCTTTGCCCAAAAAAGTACTCAGAATTCATGTATTATTTACAGACAATATCAGCTGGGCTTGTTTGGGGACGGGAGGAGGGAGCATGATCCAGCGCTGCTGCGAGGCAGATGCACTAGTCCTGGTCCTTCCCCTTGTTTATTTCTTTACACAAGATCATGTCGTCTGTGAATAAAGATAGATTTATTTATTTATTTACAGTATGAGTGGGTTTTATTTATTTTTCTTGTTCAATTGTCTTGAGGATGGAGTCTTTTTAAAAATTACTTTATGCAGATCGCCGCTGGGCTGCCGCTGCCGCTATCACTATCGTGCCAGCCTCTCAGGTCTCAACAAGGCCGAGTGACACTCCAGAATGGGAGACAAGCCAATTTGGGAGCAGATTGGATCCAGCTTCATTCAACATTACTACCAGTTATTTGATAACGATAGAACCCAACGAGGCGCAATTTACATTGACGTGTCATGCCTCACGTGAGAAGGACAGCAGTTGCAGGGGGAAAGCTGCTATTGTGGAGAAGTTGTCTAGCCTTCCTTCCAGAAAATACAGCACGGCACAGGACCATCAGCCCATACCAGATAGCTGCATCATCAGCATGGTTGTGGGCTAGCTCAAGGCCGATGAAGATCCCATCATGGGATTCCACCAGATCTTTTTATGAAAGAACATCAACGATGCTTGGGTTTGCACCAATGATACGTTCAGGCTTGCCCTGCACAGCTTGGGCTCACCACCTCCCGGCCAGGCACTCTTGCTGTTTCCTCCTCCCTCCTCTTCCCAATACTATTTACACTCCTCCAGATGCTCCAAATATCATACACAAATGAGCAGAGCCATGGTGGCAGTAGACGCAGTGCGCTGCTGCCACCAAGGTGTTGTGCATGATGTTTGGATGCTAGCCTAGTTGCAGCTGACAGGAGAAGTTTGTGTTGTACCAGCACATGCCTGGAAAGACTTAAGTAATGCAAAAAATTGTCCTTTTTAAACAAATATCTACTGACAAGTTGTTCTAGTAACTCAAAGAAGTGAAGAAGAAAGCAGCTGCCTCCCTGTCCAGGTTGATTTGTTCAGATGTTTCAGTGCCTCATGATACAATAAAACCACAAAAATTTTCTTAACAGTTTTAAAAAAATTACTTTATTATGCTGATGTGGGGTACAAGTCAGGATTAGGTACATAAATAGTCTATGTGCAGGTGAAGTTTGGGCTTCCAACTGGTCCTCACTTCCCCTTATTGGTGTTAGTTGTCCTTTCCCTGCTGTATTGGGAATGGAGTCTTGAAAAGCTGTGAAAACCAAAATGCACTCGACCCGCTTCTGGAGGGAAGCTCAAAAGTATATCCACTGTGTGCTCAACATCTACTGGGTGATCGTGCATGTATGCATCCATTTATCCAAAAAACATATATGGGGCATTCACTGTGCCCTAAAAGTCTGATAAGAATACCATTTTCCTCCCTTTGGACAAACACATTTCTTTTTCAGTAAACATTTATTGAGGAATGTTTTTTTTTGACATGTTCTTCTCTAGGCATCAGGGACAAGGTGGTGAATAGGTGTGATCAGCACTGAGCTCAAGGTCGAGGCAGGGAGATAGACAAGCCTAACTGATAATTATATGCTCATGAGAACAACATGGTCTGTGGGAGGGAAGCACAGAGCGACATGGAGGGAAAGGGGGAAAAGACTTCCAGAAGAAGTAGATTGGATTGGGAGTCTTGAAAAGCAGGTAAGGGGCCCAAGTGTGCTCCAGGCACATGCCAAAGCCCTACCTGCTCCTCTACTGTGACCAGCTTCCCAGTTAATTCTCCTTCCCTCTTTGACGTGTGTGCAAATAGGAGTGTGTAGGCCCCATTAGGGGTCTTCAAAGGACCCTGGATGGATCATTGAGTAAGGATAAGAGAAGAGAAAAAGAAAGAATGGATGGGGCCAATCAAGAAGCATAATTATGCCTTCCTGCTTGAGAGAAATGACCCATCCTTCTCTTTCCAGTAACCCTCTCCCCTGGGTCTATCATGTGCCTTTGCTCTCGGGCTCTGTGCTATTCAGGGGAAGAGGGCCTCAGTTCAAATCCTGCCTTACTTAGCTATCAATGTCTACCTTACTTTGTTCGGCTGAACAGACCCCAATCAGACATCAAAATGTCTAGTGGTAGGGTGATCAACCATCCTGGTTTGCCTGGGACTCTCCAGCTTTTATCATAAAAAATTCTGCGTTCTAGGAAACCTCTCAATCCTAGGTGAACTGGAATTCTTGATCACCCCCTTTCAGTAAGCCCCAGACAGGAGCGTTTTCAAGGAGGCTCATTAAACATTCAAAATCAAAACCGATGGTTTTAGTGCATCTGAACAGTCTATTGTTGATTCGTTAAGACTCTGGAGTTGTAGTTATTAAGATTTAGGCTAGACTAATAGCTCTGCCAGTTATGAGCTTCTAGATGTTGGGCCAGTTACCTATTATTCTGAGATTCAATTTTCACATCTGTGGAACTGTGGGAATAATTCCAATCTCAAAGGGTTATTTAGAATTAAATTAGAAAATGCTTGCAAGGCACAGCCTCTGAAACATGGTAAGCGATCGGTAAATGATTCAATACTCTTGTTCAGAAATCAGCAAACTACAGCTGGATGGCCAAATCCAGCCAGCCTCCTGTTATTGTAAATACAGTTTTATTGGAACACAGTCATGTTCATTTATTTACATATTGTCTAGGGTTGCTTTCAAGCTACAAAGGCCTAATTTAGTAGCTGCAACAGAGAGCGTTCAATCTGCAAAGCCTAAATATTTACTTTCTGGCTCTTTATGGAAACAGCCCACTCTTCCTCTTATTAATATGACCAGGTACAGTTGAGGGAGTCCTGACTCAGATCCTGGACACCTGGACTTCTGTTTGATAGGCACTGGCTCTGTGATCTTGGGCAGTTAAACTTCTCAGAGTTCATCTTCTTGTCTCTGAAACAAACAGATGACTTATAAGGCCCATCCATGTACTCAACTTTCTGAGATTTACATTTTGAACCTATGAGACATTGAGGGAAGAAATTCTGTGGAAGGTGGGTGAAGGATGTAATGAGACTTTGATGCCTCATTCTCAAGTTCCCCACAGTTGACGATGTGCTCCTCTCCTGAGCTGCACCCTTTACCATAGTCCCAGTGACCTTCAGGAAAGGGCAGGCTGAGCAAGGTCATGAAATCCACTGGAAGTTTTTGGTCAAAGAAGAAGTCATGGGCTGTGTCCTGTCCCGCCAGGGAGCTTGGTGAGAGAAAGAATGAATCGTGACCCTCTCGGACCCGATCTACCTGCTACAAAGGGTTGTGGTGAGTCACCCTTATTTGTGAATGATAATTTTTTTTTTAATCATGCTTGCCTCTACTCTTTTGAAGGTGCCAATTTACAGAATGATGGCTTCCGGTTTCATAACTGGACAAAATGCACATCAACAGTTGATAGAGAACACCAGACCCTCATGAAGTTTCTAGAATTAATAACCTATGACATAGACAAGTCCCAGCAATACTTTAGCTGTGATTCCATTTTATAAACAAATCTCTTTCTCTTTTCCTTTTTTTCCTGTCCTCTTCCTTGTTGCAGGAAGTCCTTATCTGTCTCCTAAGTGCCCAGTAGAAGTCCTTCCCACTTGGAGAACCTCTTCTGCACAATCCACTCCCCCATCGCTGCCTTTTCTGCATTTCTGGTGTGTGTGGTCACAGTTTCTACCCAGCACTTCCTCACACACAGTCCAGACTGCTTTCTGATAGTTCCATTAATCTCCTCTTCCCAGTGCTGTCATCTCCCCAAGGGCAGGGCAGGGGCTGTGCTATCTACCTCATTTGCATACCCTGGGGGATCAGCTGGTGCTGGGCTCAGCAGAAAGTGTGGCCCTGGTAGAATGTTCTCATCTGCTCTGTACTTGACTAGGACTTCCTTTGTTCATCTGGGCTGTGGGGGTTGCATTTAAACCTCTCCCACACGTGAGTCGCTTCCTCGATTGTTATCTAGCAGGTTGGGTTGATTCATGCTGCTCTGCTATTGTTGTGTGTCAGGTCTGGGTCTTTGTCCCGATTAGATTAATAGCATCCTGAGTTTGGCTAGTGGACAGTCTTTCCTTAATGAATGAAAAACAAACTGCCATGTCTCAGCAAATGAGTGTTTATCTACCTTGTTCTCTTTCTGCGAACTATTAGCTTTTTGTTGTTATGAAATCCACCAGTGTCCTGGGGATGTCTAATTGCATGTATATTACTAGAGCTTTTAAAATTTTCTTTATTCTGGCATCAAGTTTCATCTTGATTATATAGGGAAACTTTCCACCCCTTTATTTCTGAGTCAGAGCCTCACTCTGTCGCCCAGGCTGGAGTTCAGTGGCACAATCAGGGCTCACCAGAGCCTCTACCTCTTGGGCTCAAGCAATCCTCCTGTGTCAGCCTCCTAAGTAGCTGGGACTACAGGCATGCACCACCACACCTGGCTATTTTTCTTTTTTGTAGAGATGAGATCTCCCTATGTTGCTCAGGCTGGTCTTGAACTCCTAGCCTCAGGCAATTTTCCTGCCTCAGCCTTGCAAAGTGCTGGGATAATAGGCATAGGCAAACTGTGCCCAGCTAATCCTTTTTATTATACCAATGTGGGTATTAATTTTTATCACTGACTTTTAGCAGAGAAATCTCACATCCAAGAAACAGGGCAGGATATCCCCTACACTCGCTGAGTAGCTTGTGGAACAGTTCTGGGAACCCAGCTGCAAGAGGGCAGAAGCATCCATGGGCACTACTAGTACAGCATGAAAAAAAACTCATCAGAATCATTCATTCATTCATTTTTTTTTTTGAGTTGGAGTCTCACTCTGTCGCCTAGACTGGATTGCAGTGGTCGCTCCCGGCCACCGCAGCCTCAACCTGCTGGGCTCCGGCGATCCTTCCGCCTCAGCCTTCCAAGTAGCTGGAACTACAGGCGCATGCTACCACACCCGGCTAAATTTTTGATTTATTGTAGAGATGAGGTCTCATTAAGTTGCCCAGGCGGGTCTCGACCCGCGGGCTCAGGCAATCCACTCACCTCAGCCTCCCAAGGCGGGGTTACAGGCTGAGCCACCGAGCCCGGCTAATAGGTAATTTTTCAACACTCACCCATCTCCCACTCTTCTATTCATGGAAATATGAGCAAGTTGCCACTGCCTTTTTAATGTATAATAGCTTACCCCAATTGTGCAAATATTCTTCAGATATTATTGAATTTTAAACTTATGAATGTTATGTATATGGTGAGAGTAATATAAGAGGAGACATGAAAATAATGTATTGATTAATTTGGAAGAAATACAAGTAACTAAGTTGAGCTTTACACTGTTACAAGTTCGTTATGGAACACTGACATTTAAAGAGTTAATGTCAACTTAGAAAAAATATAAACTGAGCCAAAAATATCTGTATGGAAAAATACATTTAACTCTGAAAGTTGGAAAAGAGAATCAAAGACTTTTATTATTTTTTAGATAGATTTAGGACAAAGGCAGATCATTCAATACAGAAACATTGAAAGAAGACAAGAGAATGAGACAGTAATATTCTACTGTTATAAATCTAAGGAGGTTTTGACTTGTCTAATGAAAACTGAATGTCTTCTGTGTGATACCAGTCTCTTTTTGTGTTGC